TAAGTCACACGGAAATTGTCTTCTATGCAAAAGAAATTGCTTCCTTTCTTTTTATTCATGGAAATCTTTTTTTATTGTTCTCAACTAACTGGTGTTTAAAAATATCTTACTTTTGTTTCAATTTAGGCGTAATTAGCTGAAATTAGCTAAAATTAGATATTTACAATGACTAATTTGATAAATTAGTTGAAGGTTGATAAATTTAGCTAAATGTATATTCCTTGGGCTACGATTAGGTAATGTTGACTGAAGTTGAATAAATTTAACTAAACATTTAAGTATTTATTTAATAAACCTTTTTAGTAAGTAGTAAAGAGTTGTTTTAGTCAGACAATCGTTTCAATATATTTTTTTGCAATATTGAAGCGTTATAGTCAAATAAAATCAGAAATTCATTTGTTTATTAAATTAAATTTCATTATTTATTTAATAAATCGGTTTTTCAGTAGTAGAGAGAGATTTTAGTCAGACAAAGTTTAATAAACGTTTTTAGCAGAAGTGTTAAAGCGTTTTATTCAAGCAAAAATCAATGCCTTTTTTAAATTTAATTTCTTTATTTAGTTAAAAAACCACTTTTTCAGTAGTCAAATGTCGTTTTAGTCAGACATTAGTTTTAATAAACATTTTTAACAGTAGTATTAAATCGTTTTAGTCAAACAAAATATTGAATTTCTTTATTTTATCTATTTTTATCTAATTTCTTTATTTATTTCGTTAACCACTTTTTTCAGTAGTAAAGAGTTGTTTAAGTCAGACAATAGTTTCAATAATTTTTGAGTAGAAAAGAACCTTTTCAGTCAGCCAAGATCATAAATGTACTGATATTTTATTTAATAATAATTTAAATTTTTAATTTAATAATATTTTATTTAATTTTTGGTAGTAAAGAGACATTTTGGTTAGGCAATAGTTTTATTAAATGTTTTTGTCAGCACCAATAAAGCTTTTAAGTTAGAGAAAATTATAAATAAATTTGTTTTCTATGGTGGAAAAATGTCGTTACAATTAGACAGTGGTATAAATATAATCTTTTTGTCAGTAGTAAAGAAGAATTTTAGTCAGACAAAATAATAAATAAATATTTTGTGATATTTTTGTGAGACGGTGCTATTAATAATAAAATAGTAAAGGAAGAGTTTAGTCAGTGGAAAAGAGGCAGTTCAGTCAGACGAACGTGTAAATAAATCTTTGTCGTCAGTAGTAGAGTCAGTTTATATTGTCAGCCACAAGTGGAAAAACAGTTTGGTACTTTAAGTAGAAAATGTGCGCTTTACTCAGACGACTTAATAATCAATTTTTCAGTAGTGTTGTCAATTTTACGTCAGACAATTGCCTCACTTATTTTTCTAAACTTGAAGATTTTTGTTGAATTTTATAAGCATATTCAACTAACCGTTTTTAACTTTTTTTAAACATACTTTAATAAATTGTAATATTTTGTTCTAATAAAATTATATCTAAATTTTTTTAATCACTATTTAGTAGTAACAAATCGTTATGGTCAGGCTTAATTATTGACATAAATTTTTTGGCCAGTAGTAAAACAGCGTTACAGTCAGACAGGGGTATTAATAACTTTTTCGTTAGTAGTAAAATGATAATAATTGAAATCTATTTATAAATTAAATATATTTATATATTAAAAATTATAAAACTTTATAAATTATTAATGCGTTTGTCTGGGGTAAATTTATATTTAATGAAAAAAGTAGAAAAGTAAAAAAATATAATGTCTGATAAAAAATTACTTTTTAATTCTCTTAATAAATTAGTGAAACTGAGTGGATAAATTTAACTAAAGTTGGATAAATTTTGATAAATTTTGATAACCTTGAAAAAGTTTAGCTAAATTTGGAAAAATTTAGGTTAAATTAAATAAATTGAGCCGAAGTTATATAAATTAAGCTAAGTTCAACACAATTTTGCTAAATTCAGGACAATTTAAAGAAAACTACTGCAAGAGCAATTATTTAGAAGAAGAAGAAAGAACCTTGAATCGCGTAATTAATCTAATTATTGGTAATTTCGTTAGAAGATAATCAACTGTGTGTTGTTAACTAACTAAACTTCCTCTTGTTAGTACTTCTTGGAGGACACGAATGAGGCATAGTTTCGGTTAGATACTTGCAGTTATTCGCGGCTCATCGGAACTGTAATTAGTTTTCCTTGCCGTGTCTGTGGTATATAGGATAGGCAGTTTTAGGGTTAGGGAAAAGGTGAAGGGGTGGAGAGAGGAGAGGAGTGAAGCGAAAGAGATTCGAGACTCTGAAAATGGCGTTTGGATAGAAGGTGATGTCGGTGAGTGAAAGAGAGGAGAGAGAGAGATAGCGAGTATAAGGGCGACGAGACTTTGGGAGAGGGATTCAGTGCTGTCGCAAACTTTATCGAATTCCGGGCTCTTCTAACTTAATCAAGTCTTAGCGCTAAGAATATTTACATTCTCAGACACGTCTATAACTATACTTCAACTAAACCATCTTCTATCTATCTCCGCTCACACAGTACTTGATTACATTACGTTAAATAATTATATTCAATCTTCATGGATTTGATACAATATAAACAATTTTTTTTTCGTAATTCTCGTTTGTTTGAAATTGCTGCTCTGATTCTATTCGTCTTAAATGATTTATTTAGACATAAAATTTAATTATTTTGTCGGCTTGCATTTAATAATTATTACTAATGATTGTTAAGGATTGTGGTACAAAAGTTCCAAAATAAAAGTTGTAAAGAAAAAGTTCCAAAACCGAAAAGTACAAAATTTATTTTTTCCAAAGTACAGAAGTTCCATAACCCAAAAGTTCATATTAAATTATATTTTGAAAATATAAGTAAAAATTATTATAAGCAAAAAAAAATGTGAGAAATAATGAAAAAAACAAAAGCATACACAAAAGTCTAAGTTTTGGTATAACAGCTTTACCTGTGTAGTTTGAAATTAATTGAATTTTCAAAAAAATATTGAAATTTTCCAAAATTCCAATTTTCAATGAATTTTATTCGAAATTTTAAAGATTACTTAGGTTTTTTAAAAAATTTAATTGAATTTTGGAAAAAATTATAAATGATTGCATAAATTCAATTATTTATAGAAGTAATCAAATTCTTTTTCAAAATTCATAACAGCTTTACCTATGTAGTTTAAAATTAATTGAATTTTCAAAAAAATATTGAAATTTTCTAAAATTCCAATTTTTAATGAATTTTATTAGAAATTTTAAAGATTACTTAGGTTTTTAAAAAATTTAATTGAATTTTGGAAAAAATTATAAATGATTGCATAAATTCAATTATTTATAGAAGTAATCAAATTCTTTTCCAAAATTTAATTATATTTAAAATTTTTAATAAAATTCTTGGCAAAATTCAATGTTTTAAAAATTTTTAATAAAATTTACAGTAAAATTTCAATTATTTTCAAAAATTTTCCTCAATTTCATATGAATTCTATTATTTACAAAATTATTTATGAGAATTCAATTTTAAAAAATAGATATTTAATTATTCAATAAATTATTTATTTTTGCATTTAAATAATTGAATTCTCGTAGAATTTTCTAATAAAAATTGATTTAAAAATGAATTTCAATTAAAATTTTAGATTTAAATATTTATTATTTAAATTATTCAAATATTCAAATAATATTTGAATATTAAAAGCATTATAGCATAAATTTTAAGAAATAATTGAATTTCAAAAAGGTTTTAAATTAAATTCTTTAAAAATCCTAATTTTTTATATTTATAACCAACAATTTTGTAGAATTAATTATTTTGAAAAAGTTTAATTGAATTTTTTTTTAAATTATTTAAAGTGTTTATTTTTTAATACGTATTCAATTGAAGAATTTCTGAATAATTGAAATTTCGTAAAATTGAATAACTGTAAACAAATGGATTTGAAAATTTTCAAAAAACTTTTTCAAACATTATTAAAGATAATTGACTTAATAATTAATAATACACAATAATTAATACTTAATAATTAAATTTTATTTAAAACTTATAGAAAATAATAATTGAATTAAAAATAATGAAAATATTTTTCTAAAATTAGAGTAAAAATATTCCTATTATATAAAATAATGATCTTATTACTCGGTTATCTTTAGTTTATTATAAAAAATGAAGAAATTGATAAAAAAAAATAAAAAAAAATAAATTTTTGAAAATCTTGATTCCTGCGGAAAAATAATAATGATTAAATATTTATTTAAAAAAGAAGTTATTGATGTTTTCAAATAATTTTGTACTTTGATTACTGAATATTTTTGTAATTACTAAAAATTAGAAAATACTAGTTTTCTTAATAATATTGTTAATTAGTTAATAAGAAGTTGCTAATGAATCATAAATACTGTTAATAATTATAACATTCACTGGACTCTCACATTGTGTAAAGAGGCGTGAAGTTGAAAATCGCAAAAAAGGAAAAACAAAAAATTTTAGAGAACAGAAGTCTAATAGTAAGTTTTACATTGTTATAACAGAACTGTTTAAATTTGCTTTTTCACCTTTATTTCCTAAAGGATAATTAGCACCAATTATATTAAATATGCACTTTCGTTCCGTGTTTTCATTTGCTCAACGTTCTTTTTTTCACCCTCCGCTCACTGAAAGTTACATAATAGTCTCGTGGAGTTACCGTAAAAAATTTCCCCATAATTTTCGAATAGAGAAAAATTTTCTCACTGACAAAAAAAAGGAAGTGACAGTAAAATAATGCAGGAAAATATCTAAAAAGCATGGTAGAGAAGAAATAACCAGGAATTATTTTAATTATCGAAAAATTACTTTTAGTAAACTATATATAAATAAATAATGAGATTGAAAAAAAATATAGAAAAAATAATGAGAAGTTTAATGGAAAGAAAAAAAATATTCTAAAGTTGGAGATTTCAATTAAAACTTTTATTTTTGTGATAGTGAAGTAAAAAAAAAAAAAAAAATAAGAGAGAAAGGTTTAAAAAAATGGATTGAATTTTCTTTGTTTGAAGGAACCGTTAATGAAGCTGGACTTTTTGCACTTCGTGGAAAGCAGGATGGGAGTAGACGAAATAGAAGGACAACGACCAGCACAACAACGAGCAGCACCTCGACGACCTTGACGTCATTTTCAGATGATGTGGCGCAGCCCGCGGCACTTTTAGCTCCCAATGAAGAATCATGGACGACAAATTCACCAACCACAAGCGATATACTGTACCTTGCCTTGGCAACGTCCTCCAAGTCCCCCATCGAGCTCGTTGTGAAGCCACACAGTAAAGTCATTCTACCCTGTGAACTCGAAGGGAACTACTCAAAACTTGTACAGCCTGGAGCCAGGTACTGTGTCCTTGTTTGCTTTCAAGCATATCTGAATGAGACATCATTTTACCGTAATATTCATGAAATACATATATATCAACATATATACAACATTTTTTCTCCAAAACATGAAATTTAAAAAAAAAAGAGGAAGAGGAAGAGGAAGGAAAAAAATTTAACATATTTTTCTATTCTTGGAGATTTTTGTTCTGATTTTTATGAGCATATTCAACGAAGCGTATTTCTCTTTTATATTTATTATAAATAATCCAATGCTAAATTTTTTATTATTTTCCATATTGGAAAAAAAATACTTTTTCGATATTTTTTGAGATTTTTTTCATTATTTCTTATTATTAAGTAGTAAAAATGTATTTTGGTCAGACAAATGTTTGTACCATATGAACGATATTGGGTAAGGATTGCTAATTGTCGGTAAACAGTATTTAAAAATTTTAATATCCAGTAGAATAAAGACATTTTAGTAAGACACTTTTTCAGTAGTATAGTGCTGTTTTAGTCAGACAATAGTTTTAAGAAGCGTATTTAGAATTGGTATTAAAAAACATTAGTTAAATAATGTAATCAGCTCCTCTAACTTGTTTATTTGATAATTTGTTATTTAATTTCTATATTTAGTTAATAAACCAGCTTATCAGTAGTAAAGAGACGTTTTAGTGAGACAATAGTTTTAAATAAATTTTTTGACAGTATTGTAGAACCATTTAGACAAAGAAAATCATAAATAATTGTCTTCACTTAAAGGAATTTTTTATTTATTTAATAAACTATTATATCAGTAGTAAAGGTACTTTTTAGTCAGACAATACTTTTAATAAACGTTTTTAACGTACTGAAACTTTTTAGTCAAACAAAATAATAAATTTCTTTATTTCATTTAATTTCTCTTTTTATATGATAAATTATTTTTTCAGTAGTAAAGAGACATTTTAGTCAGACATTAGTTTTAAAAAACGTTTCTATCAGTATTGTAGAATCATTTGAGAAAAAGAAAATTTTAAATAAATGTCTTTATTTAATAGGATTTTGTATTTATTTAGTTATGAATTGTGTCAATAGTAAAGACACTTTTTAGTCAGACAATAGTTTTAATAAATATTAGTAGTGAAGATATGTTTAGCCAGGCAGTTGTTTTAATATACTTTTTGGCTAGTAGTAAAGAAGATTTTAAGTCAGACAGAGTAATAAATTTATTTTTGTCAGTAGTAAGTAGATGTTTTTGTGAGAAAAATTAACAAATTTCTTTGTCAGTAGTAAGTGAACAGTTTAGTCAGACAAACGTGTGAAAAAAATCTTTGTCGTTAGTAGAACTCGTTTCAAGTGTGACTAAAGAAATATAATATTTCTATTTAAAATTTAACAATAAGTTTTCAAACTTCCTAAATTATTAATACGTTTGCCGGAGGTAAATTTAACTTTACTACCGAAAAAACACTTAAAAAAATTATGTCTGACAGCAATTTACTTCTACTACTAAATAGCAAGAAATAATAAAATCTAAACATAATGAAAAGTTTAACGCTGTTTTGAAAAAAAAAACTGACTATTAACAAAAATTAATATTTTCCAAAAGAAGAATTAATATTTTTAAACTTGTTTTTCTATTAGAATGTAATTTACCCCTATTCTACCGTGTGTATTTTTTTATAATAAATAATTGTTCTCGACAGAAATTATTAAGTATTCCACGCAAGTTTCTTATTTAATATTCATACAATATATATTTTCCGCATTCCCCCCCACCTTCATTTGAAATAAGAAACTTGTTCTCCAAAACTTGTACCACATACAAAGCAAACTTTAAGGGTTTAACAAAACTCAAACTTTCCAGGGCCTTGATGGAGATTCTTTAGGGTATATGGCGTGTCCTCATAGGAGACCCTTCTCTAATTAGATCTTAACTTTGCTCCTGAAATTTGATAACGAAACGTTTCCACAGTCTTCTGAATTACAAACATACATCACAAAAAAAACTTTCGGGAAATTATTTTTATTAACTAAAATATTTTATTGAACGAATATTGTCAAAAAAAAAAAAAAAAAAATGGATAGAGAGAGGGGTAAATTAAATAATTAATTAAAAGTTAAAAATAAAAAAAATTGACAAATATACTTTTGAAAAGAAAATTAGATTTTTAATTAACTTTTTTTAATACAATGCGATTTTTCGTTTAATTAAAAAGTTTCGTTATGAATTTTTTTTTTTTTAATTAAATAAAGAAACAAATTTGAATATTTGATGGAAAAATCTGTTTATTTTCCATTGGGGTGTAATATATGAAAAATGTATTTATGGTTTTTTTCAGAAGTTATAGAATAGAACCAGCAACATGGCTTCATGATGATAATCCAGTGGATATGATTACTATCGACACGAGGACAGAAATGAGTGGAACGGGTCATAGATACATTGGAGACTCCTCAACCGCCGCTTTGCATATCGACAACGTCAGATTAGAGGATGATGGAATTTGGAGTTGCAGTCTTAAAGACGGCCAAGGAACTTTACTTACCGGCAGACCTGTTAAATTAGTCGTACTCGGTAAGTAAATTTTTGTATAAATTTTATTTAAAAAATTTTTAAAAACTAAAAAAGTTTTACAAAAAAAAAATTTACGTTAAGAATAAATTGAAACGATCCGCAACTATTTTTACAAAAGTAAATAAATTATTCAAGCAGTAAAAAGTACAAAAATAATTTTATATTTTGTTTAATTTAGCATTTTCAATTAGTTTCTTCATTTTCAATTTAATTAACTGTTATTATTTTTCTCTTAATTCAAAATTCCATTTATTTCCATTTATATTCCAAAATACTATTTTTCAATTTCTGTTTTTGATGTAAATATAGAAATGATTTTTTCCATTAAAAATTGTTCAATAACTTAAATAACACAATTTGATAAATTGATAGACATGAAATATTTACAGTGTCAGTAAAATATTAAAATAACTAAAAAAAAAATAAAGTTACAAATTGATTAAAAATGTCATCAAATATTTGACTACGTTTAAAAAATAAAATTAACTTAACATTTAATTTGAAAAAATTATTTATTTTTAAAAGATTGATAAAAATTCTATTTCTGTATAAAAATAGATTACAAAATTTTGTTTAAGAGATAAATTTTTCCATATTATTAAAATGTTCATAACTGACAAACGCAATACCGGAATTTTAATGTGTCTAATTTGGTTAAAATGAAAGTTTACATATGTTTTACACAAATCGGTGTTTTTTTTTTCCTCCACATTTTGAATGTAGAAATTTTGTAAAGTTTGTATTAAATTTTCCCAACATTTTGAATTGAATGATAAATTTTCCACGTTTCTATCCATTAAAATAATAATTATTATTATTATTAAAGTTGTGTGATGGAAAAGTTTTAATATAATATATATTTGAGAAATTGGTGAAAGTAAGACTCGTGGGATGGTTGTGGCTCTTCGATGTTGCATAATGTTTCAATTTGTCGTCACACTGTAATTTGAAATCGTATGCGCATGCATGGATATATAGACGAAATTCAAATGTCTTTGTCAGTTTGTCGCGTCTCGGGCAATCGTGCGACTAACTATTCAGACATTTCAGACGCACAGTGTGACGTCAAATGTTCGTCCTGAATCCCGTGGTAATGCGGTCCTATGCATATTAATTCGCGTCACATGACTATAACGTTTCAAACAGGAGACGCAATTCAATGAATATTCATTTGGAAATATATTTTTTCTCACCTAAAGTATACAAATATATATATATGTATAAATAAATGTAGATGTAATTTAAAATAGATAAAAAGGAATTTCTCGTATTTGTTGATGGAAAAATATTATGAATATTCTTCAAGATTTATATTGTCATACGTTTGCTTTTATCTAAAAATCGAAAGAAATGAAATTAATTTTTTTTAAAGGAAGTAAAAAGAAACAACTGTCGTTTAAAAAAAAATAAAATTTTATTCACTATAATTTTTTACTCTCTAAATCAGAATTAGTAGTTTTACATTTTTTAATACTTTACTACGAGACAACATTTTTGTTTGAACGTATCTTTATACTACTGGCAAAGTGATTTTTTCCATAAATAGACTAATTGCTAGTAAAAAAAACTACTAAATCATTAGTAAGTAGTAAGTTTTACTATTAAAAATTACCAAGGCGAATTACTACATCAATTAGTAGTTTTCTACTATCAATTAGTAGTTTACTATTAAAAATTAGTCAAGACTCTTACTAATTCAATCAGTAAACGAATTCCCACTGTTTCATTACTAAAAAATTACTAACTCAAATTTAGAAAGTATATATTTAGTAAACCACTTTTTCAGTGGTAAAAGGTTCTTTTCGTCAGACAATAGTTTTACTAAACATTTTTGCCAGTAGTGAAGAAGCGTTTTAGTCAGACGAAGTCATGGATATTGTTCAAGATATATTGTCTCGTTTGCTTTTATCTAAAAACTAAACACAACTAAATTCGTTTTTTTTAAAGGAAAAATAAGAAGAAACAACTTACAGTTTAAAAAAAAAAGAATTTTATTCAATATGAGAAATAGAATAGAATTTTTTATTCTTTTAACCTTAGATTAAATTTTTAATTGTAATTGTTTTAAGGCAAGGCTACACCTATATTTTTAACTTTATTAAAGAAATAATTAAAACATTTAACAAAATTATTTTTAAAGTAATTTTTTGTTAGGAATTCAATGGTCATAAAATAAAATCGGTCAGAAAATATTTTGACCCTTTTTGAATTTTTATTTTTCTTAAAAATTGTTGGATTTTGAAATCCATACGTAATTTTTGTATAAAATATTTTTTTGAATCCACAAAAAAATTTCCAAATAAAAAAATTGATTTTTATAATTTTTATAGCATTTTTTAAAAACAAAATCTGTTTTTAGGTTGAAAATGCTAAAAAATACAATTATTTCTCTTTTTTTCTAAATTTATTTGTTTATTTTTCTTACTTTCAGATGACACTTTTATCCAAATTTTTTTTGTATTTTTATTTTTTATATATAAAAATTGTGATCTAATATTAGTTAGAAAAATAAACAAATGAATTTTCATTTTAAAAAAATGAAGAACAATTGTACTTTTTACCATTTTTAGCCTAAAAACAATTATTTTTTTTAAAAAAATGATATAAAAATTATGAAAATCAATTTTTTTATTGGAAAATTTTTTTGTAGATTCAAAAACATATTTTCTACAAAATTATGTATGGATTTCAAAATCTACGAATTTTTAAGAAAAATAAAAATTCAAAAAGGGTCAAAATATTTTATGACCATTGAATTCCTCACAAAAAATTATTTTAAAAATAAATTTGTTGAATGTTTAAATTATTTCTTTGATATAGTTAAAAATATAGGTGCACCCTCCCCTTAATAGTCAATTACAATTAGCAAGTCTAAATGAGTTACTTATTTTAAAAGGTAAAAAGGAAAACATTGTAAAAAATATAAACAACCAGATTTTGCAAGTATATAAAAATAATTTTATAAGTAGTAAAGATACATTTTAGCCAGATAAAAAATATAAGAAAACTTGTATCGTAAGTAGTAAAAGTGCATTTTTGTCAGACAAAACGCCAAAAGAGCTTTTTTTTAGTGAAAAAAATTGTCCTTTAGTCATAAATTAATTCTATTATTTAATTGACTCTCTTTAATTATTTAATAAAGCAGTTTGTAAATAGTAAAGAGTCTTTTTTGTAAGACAATAGATTTAACAAATTGTTTTCTAGTAGTAAAGAGATATTTTAGTCAGACAACTTTTAATTTATCAGTAGTTTATTTTATTAGTAGTACACACTAAAAAAAAAGTTTTACTTTCAGCCTCTTTTTGAGGCTGAATTTATGATGTAAACGGAGTCAGCCCCGTTAAACAAGGACAGACTTATGTGAAATACATGGGCTGAATTTAAGGTGTAAACGGAGTCAGACTTTTTTTTTCCTGTGTAAAGATTCGTTTTAGTCAGACAATAGATTAAAAAAAAATTTCTAATAGCAAATAAATGTTATTTAGTCAGACTACTTTTAATAAAATTTTTTTTGTTGGTAGTAATGGAGCGCTATACTGAGACAAAATCACACATAAATACTTTTATTTAATAGACTTTCTTTATATTATATTTAAAAAACTTCTTTGACTGTAGTAAGGAAGCATTTTAGGCAGACAGGTTTAATAAACTTTTTTAGATGAAGTGTTAAAGTGTGTTTGTAAAGTAAATAACAATTATTTTCTTTGTTTATTGAATAAACCACTTTTTCAGTAGTCAATTTTCGTTTTAGTCAGACATTAGTTTTAATAAATATTTTCGACGGTAGTATTTGAAGCATTTTAGTCAGATAAAATCATAAATTAATTATTTTATTTATTAATTTTCTTTAATTGTTTAATAATGCAATTTGTCAGTAGTAAGGAATCGTTTTAGTCAGACAATATTTTTAATAAACGTTTTTAACAGTATTAGAGAGACGTTTTAGTCAAAAAAAATATTGAATTCCTTTATTTAATACAATTTCTTTATTTATTTAGTAAACCAATTTTCAGTAGTAAATAGTTGTTTTAGTCAGACAATAGTTTTAATAAATGTTTTTGTCAGAACCAATAAAGTTTTTAAGTTAGAGAAAATTATAAATGAATTTGTTTTCTGTTTTAGTAGAAAACATGCGTTTGTAGACAGACATGATAAAAATTAATTTCGTCAGTAGTATAACCACTTTTAGGTCAGACAACTTCAGTAGTTAATTGTACAGTAATGTTGTCAATTTTACTTTAGCCATTTTTGTACAATTCGAAAACAAATTTTGTTATTTTTATTATTTGGAGTATTTTTATTTTAGAGTATTTTTATTATTTAGAGTATTTTCATTATTTGTAGTATTTTCTTGAGTAACAATGCAACACGTTTAGTTTTCAATAATTACATTCGAATCACATATATAAAAATCTAAAAATCATTAAAATAAATGAATTATTGTTAATTTGCGGGGAAAAAGAGCACATAATTTATTAGCAATCAATTATGATGAATCGATAGTGAGAATTGCACTCGAATATCACAAAGGGCACTTTATGGTCAGTTATGGAGTGCATAAACTGCAAATTAACTTAGGCAGTATATATGCAATGCAGTGGCCAATAACTTGAAGTACTAAGCGTTTCTGAGGGCACTGGCAACATGCTTGGCCAATCGCTGTTCATCCAGCACTGACAACGGCATTAGTGACCAGCATCAAAGCCCGACTTCAACCCATGCGGACAGTAATTATTGACGCGAACTGACCATTAGCCACTAACTACCCATTGATTAGCCTGAGACGTCTCTATAATTAATGGCAGAGTCCTGTTATTCACTTGACAATTTATTTCCCACTTTTATTTCACTCACGATAACTATTCTTCTTTTTTATTTCTTTCAAATTGTTCACCGACTTATATTTTTCAAACTATTTTATAAATTTTATAAATCTTTAAACTATTTTATAAAATTTAAAATTTTCAAACTAGTTTATAAATTTTCAAACTAGTTTATAA